TTGTATAAAACGTGGAAATAGCGTTCCATTAATGGTACAATAAAAAGGTTCTCTGTCGACTTTGAGAAGACCTTGAAAAAACTTTAGCTGAAGTTAGCTGTTAGCTGGACTGAGTGTTCTGCAACTCTAAACATAATTGGATGATATATCATCTATGACTGCTTATTCAGTACAGGGTTATGCTGATCCTCTGGCGTATCCTTGGAAATGTTGCAAGACAAGGGACACACTGGGCAGGATGAAGGGGCAACCATCAAGCCTACAGCCCTGGAGCATGTGCCCCTACAGTCATATCGGGATTGTCAATTCTGTCACTCATACTTTCAGATCCTCATACTCATGCAAGAAATCTTATGGCAAATCTACATTATTCCATTATAAACCTGAAACTAGCTTCATCAAAAGCATTGGGGTAGTTTGCAAACCCTACAGATAATAAAACTGTGAAATATGTTTGTGAGTGTGCAGACTTGTCTCTAACTGAAAATCTTACACCAACCAGCTGATCGAAGTTGGCAACCCTGTCTTATCTTTAGAACCTTTTTATAATTAATCCTACCAAGAGCAGTAAAGTAGTTAAGAAAGAATAAGCCAATTTGAATGCCAGCAATTGATCCACTTAAATTCCTGAGTTGAAAATCTGCAGAACCGTTGTTAAGCAATCCCAAAGCAACTGGAGAGAGCATGAGTAAATCTGCCAAGAAGAGCAGAAAAACAAACTCTATCAAGCCATATGCAGTATTTGTCCAGACATGATAAATTACATGATAAATGTCTAGTATTTTCACTTGGATTATAGCTTCCATTACTTTTCCAGTTATGCAAGTTAAACAAATTGGCCTAATGTTTGATGGATTATATCTAACCCCTTTTTGAATATGAATTAGTTAGAATTTAGTGATCAGTGGTCATTGTCAACACACAGTGCACAACAATGAAATGTGTCCTCTGCATTTGACCCATATGTGACTTTCGTGACATAGCAGGGGGCAGCTAATTCAGTGACCTGGGAGCAGTGCTTGGGGACAGTACCTTGCTCAGGGTACCTCAGTGGTGACTTGCTGGGGGGGGATTCAAACCTGCAATCTTTCAATTACAAGTGCGCTACCCTAACCATCAAGCCACCACTGCCCACTGGGTGTTATGTTAGCATGCTTCCAATCGAGGGTACCACACCAGCAGATAAGGATTTCTGAAACAGTAAAGGTTGGCAAATAGTATCCCTCATCTCTTTTAAAACTATAGGTAAGTTACCATCAGGTCCTGTGATCCATTTATATTGAGCTTAGTTAGGATTTGTAGCACATCAGCTTCAGTTATATACAGTATATTTTAGCCATAGATGACACTGGATTAGAAATAAGAGTCGGTATATTACTCATGTCCTCTACAGTGAATACACATGCAAAACAATCAGTCTAATATTATTTTTAACTCACTCTGTAGACTTAGATACTCTGGCTTTATTCCGAAATCATTAGTTATTTTCCATTTGGGAAACACAGCCCTTTTCCTCCTGACTTTATTCTTAATTTCAGTAGTTGTAGTAGTAGTAGTAGTAGTAATGACAGATCACGTAAAGTAACAGAGCGAGGTTGCCAAGTGCTGAAGTGCATAGTGTGTAAAAGTCGCCAGTACTCTGTTGACTTAATAATTGCAGAGTTCCAAACGTCTTCTGGCATGAACCCCAGCATAAAAACTGTGCACCAGGAGCTTCTTGGAATGTGCTTCCATGGTCGATCAGCTGCATGCATCACATCACCAAGCACAATGCCAAGTGTTGGAAGGAACGGTGTAAAGCATGCAACCACTGGACTCTGAAGCATAGTTTATTTCCTAAATCATCCTGCAGTTACGAATCATGCTTCTCTGTCTGGCAGTCTGATGGATGAGTCTGGATTTGGCGGATGCCAGGAGAACATTACCTGCCTGACTATATTGTGCCAAATGTGATGTTTGGTGGAGGAGGGATAATGGTATGGGGTTGTTTTTCAGGGGTTGGGCTAGGCCCCTGAGTTCCAGTGAAGCAGCAAAAGATGGTGCTGAAATTTTTTAGTGATGGAGGCATTTTTTGCAATTAAAAGAATGTCTTTATTTTGACCTACCTACCGAGACATCTAGTCAACGTTATGGTGATATGTGAAATTATAGGAACAATAGGTTACTGGTCATCATAAACTCTTATCACTTGGTGTTACTGCAACATTACTTAACAATTAGATTGCAATCAATGACTATTGCCAGATGACTATTACAACTATTGAACTACAAAATATAAATGATCAATCAACAAATACAGGATCTAACCGGTATGCTATGGTCTACTGCCATAAAACTGTGACTGTAAAGGATATTGTCAGCTGTCAGAGGATAACACAGTCCTCAGCTGACCCTAAATATAAAGTGGAAAATTTCAGGTTTCAGCATAGTTGTGTATGGTCATTCCAGTCACAGAGACCTCTAGTTATTGGCATGCAAAATCATCAAAAACGTAGTTTCCTGAATTGTATTCTTAGTCAAACTCAAGAATTGCATGTGAATTCTTATACATCATATCTATATAGTAGTGGATACACCCTAGGTGTGCCTATAATTCTCTGGGAAAAACCTTGCAACTCAGTTTCAGTTATGCAAATTTTTCCTTAAGCATCCTGCTTTGACATACTCATACTTCAGTCTTTAGGTGAGATTAAACATATCAGTAATGGGTAGCAACATGTTCCTGGTTATGTTATTTGTAACGACGACTTTCCATGCAAAAGATGGATGGATTTTTCATTCCATCATAAGGTTATGTGTTCACAGTAACCACTGATTTTAGTTATGAAATGAAACCTGTAAAGCATAGGCTACCAAACAGGAAACAGATACTTTTGTCACCAACAAATATAAACAACCGACCTGGAAGATCCCTGGGAAAAGAGTCATGGAAACACAGGTAATATACAAGGTAATATACAAACTCCAAAACATGGCTGTGGTGGGAACCAAAGTTACATTCCTGGAGATGTGAGACTACTGTGCTACTCCATCATTTATCAACAATGAAAGAAAATTTTATTGGATTGCATTAATAATTTTAATTCAAATTTAACAAAAGACAATGACATGAAGTTTTGTTAGTGTAAAAAGTTATTGCATGCCTGCTCTATAAATTACGTAGGTTGAATTAAAAAAAGTTAATCTGTTTGGGGAAAAAAATCATATGAAATGATAAAAACCTGTTTTGCAGTCTCAAACTCAATTTCATACAAATCTGTGAATGCAATCAAAAAACTAAAAATGTCAATAGTCTTGAATTTTGTTTGGTTACTTATGGTTAAGGTTAGGTATGGGTTGAGGTTGTCATTGTTGGGATTAGGGTTTTGCCCATAGAAATGAATGGGCAGTCCCCACAAAGATATGAGTACAGGTGTGTGTGTGTGTGTGTGTGTGCACGCACGTGTGTGTGTGTGGAATTTGCATATTCCTCCAGGTACTCTGCTTTTCTCCTGCATTCCAAAGACATGCAGGTACACGTCTCTAAAATGCCCATGGCGTGTGCCCTGCTCCAAGCTGCCCCCTGTCTTTTGCTTCCCGTTATAGGCTCCAGGCTCATCGCAATCCTGTCCTGGATGAGTGGGAGAGATGATAGATAGACGGTTGTATATTACTGAAGGAATTGCCCAGGTTTGTACAGTATTCTCTACACAAATACATTAGAACTTTCTGAAATGTTTAGATTCCTATGGAAAGACAGAAATTTTTATGAACATAGTTTATTTCCTAAATCATTATTTGACAGAGCAATATAAAATTTGGTGTACAATACAATATTGTTTAAAAATTAAAACACTTTGGAAAATACACATTTTGGAAATTATTGTACTGTTGAATATTATCTATCTCTAACTCCTTAACCTGGTCAAAGTAACAGGCTCCAGGCAGTGTAAGGTACACCCTAGCTCAAGTTAAAAGACTATTTTCATTACGTATATTACTAATAAAAAGCAATATCTGTTTTAATCTCTTCCTTAAGTGTTCAATGAAAGAAGTTTGTCAATATTTTTCCTAAAATCAAATCAAAGTGTTTGATGGTCTCTTACGGGAAAAAAAGATGACTGAAGTTTACCTAACATTTTCCTTTGGTAACGATAAAGAACGTTTTAGTTTCCGAGAAAATATGAGATTATACTCCAGCTCTGTCCTTTTTAAAAGTGAGTAAAACACGATACGTATTCACTTAGTCGTTAACGGTGTGCCCCACCCCCACCGCCTCCCCACTGTTTACAAACAGTACTTTCTGACATAGGTCACGTCCAGACTTTACTGATGATGTCATCGTAAAAAGGCACATGTCTGCAAGCCACATGTACCCCTTTCGCAAAAATACATGCATTTCTTGATGAAACACATTACTTGATATTTGTGTTTTTTACAACAGATATAATATGTCGAATTCTAAAAAGGAAACAATGTGCAGAAACAAAATTATATGCTCATTTCGAGTTTTTTAAAGCGTCAATTCTGGCAAATGTGACCTCCATAATCGACCAAGTCGCCCAAGGCATTCTGGGTATCACGATTTGTAAACCTAAAGCTGCCGCAGATGTGAGTCGTATACAAAAAGTGGCATGAACTTCCTAAAGATGAATTTAGCTTAAATCTAGACAGATTCTATTTTACGAGTATTTGCTTGTGTTTCCTAAAACGCTCCATGGATTAATATTCGTTAAAAATAACTATGATTGTTATAAATTTATGTTTTTTTTGGTAACTATATTAAACTATTAATGAAACATATCTACTGCTTTTCTTTGATTTTACCCCCTCGGAGAACTAATAAGTTCCTTTTTTCAAGTGCGACTTGTCGTTGTAGGTCAAAATCAAGATATTCTTTTAATCGCAAAAATGCCTCTCCATCACTGCAAAATTTCTACGCCGTCTTTTGCTGCTCGCCGTTTAATTTGCGTGTTAGGCCACGGTGCAACTAAGCTACGCCTCTAATAAACCGGTCTTGCTTTCATTCCCATTGGAGGTGAGGATATAACTCCATAAAATCTGCAGTTCCCCAGTGGTGATCCTGGTTGTCAGTCAAACTGAATACGCCCCTGTTCTGTTTGGTTGTCTCTTTCTCCTTCTCTTTCTCTGAGTTGCGGCGGTGGGTTGGAGCCGCTGTCCTCCTGATCTGGCACGTTCCCTGCTAAATTTTTCACTTCAAAAATTGGATTCCCTTTCCAAAAGCTCACCAGTTTGCAGCCCTGATCAAAACCTGTATTTAATCTAAATATTACTTTACAAATAATCTGTGAATATATCCCACAATAAGATGGCGGTGGTGAGCGGGGTCTCGGGGCCGGCCGTTGCCCGGCTCGAGGGCCGTGAATTCGAATACCTTATGAAGAAACGCTCGGTGACCATCGGTCGGAATTCGTCGCAGGGCTCAGTGGACGTGAGCATGGGCCATTCGAGCTTCATATCCCGGCGACATCTGGAGATTTTCACTGCCGGGGAAGATGGCACTGGTGGAGGAGACTTTTATTTGCGATGCCTTGGCAAAAATGGTGTGTTTGTAGACGGGGTGTTCCAGAGGCGAGGGGCTCCTCCTCTGCAGCTCCCACGAGTGTAAGTGGATAACCTTTCTGTTTTCCTTTTTACGTTATACGGTTTTTCTTGTTTTCTTAGTCTCTGAAGGCTTTAGCAGCCTTGATTAACATTTAGCATTGTATGGTGTTGCAGTTAGCCGAGCCACAAAACAACCGCTTCGTAAATATTTGCGAAGTAGCTGCAACCTCGCGCGCTGCAAATCTAGCTGGCAGTACTCGTGATTGATATGGCGTGCGTGTAAAAATCACGAAACACGTCGCTTTGTGCAAATATTTCGGCGTATCGTTTTCGTTTCTCGTGTTTAAATACGAGGCAGGCAGCCACATTAAGAAAGCACCCTCCCACCATGCATTTGTCCTCACAACTGCCTTGCAGAATGTTGTTATAGTTGAACAGTACCATCCGTCTTTCATTAGAATTTGAATGTGAATTTTGTGATGATTCCGCACTCAATTTTAACGGGAGGCGCCGTTTTGCAACATTTACTGTAATGTTGCATTTTTGCGTAATTCGGTATAACGTGGTAACTGTATTATCAGGGACGCAGCCGGCCAGTTTTACGGCGTGTCGGACCCGTGTAAACAATGAATGTTTTAAATGACAAGGCTTCAATTAATTTTGCTTAATGTGGCATTGCTGTCAGTCATGACACAGAATGTAGCTCACAATTTTCTCGCAATGCACACAATTTGAATTTATGTAGTTGTCCAGAGATATTCTTAATGCAACGTATGAAAAAATGTGACATGTTCATGAAATTCGGGTCGGCACACACGTTGGGGGATCTGTCACATGTATGTCACATGCACGGCGAGGAGCTTGAGCGTGTATATCAGAAATTAATATGCATCTTTAGCGTAGCAAGCTTTATGAAATCAGAATAGGTTGTTTAATACGCATGTTGAAAATTTTCACGCAATTTGGCAAAATTGTTAGAACATGTTACGGATAATTTGTCTACGGGTCTTTGACCAAGGGCGCGCACTGTAATGTTATGTATTAAATGCGTTGGGGTATTGAATTAATATAAATTAATGCGCATATTACTTTTAATTTATAATCTATTCACATGTTTCTTATTCATTGGCCTTCTTATACATCACCTTTAGTACGAGCGATTTCTTTTATCATGCTTGTATTGCTGAAAAAATATTCGTGCATATCCATTTACATGTATATCGCTACACATTTTTTAAATATTAAATGCACATAAACGTAACATCAGCCGATTTGAAGATCATTAGGTACTTAAATGTGCATATTAAGTCCTTGTTCGCTTACCAGCTGCAATTAAATTCCATCATGTTATGCTATGTGAAAAGTAATTGCACTCAAGTTTGCCAAAAGTATTTTGCATAGTATTTTCATTGCTGGCTTTGATTTATAAAGGTGACACTATTCAGTAGTCATTGGATACAGAATGCCCCCCTCCCCCCAACAAAATACAAAAAAGTTTGATCTGCATTACTAGTATTAGTTGACCGGTTTTAAGATTAGATCTAGGATTAGATAACTGTAACCAATGGGGGAACCTGGCTTGAATGAAACGTCCACCATCTAATGGTTTGTCCAGTATAAATCTTTGTAATTTGGGGGGGGGAACTAACTTGTACACACAGCATATGTACTCCCTCTGCTTTTGTCAGGGATGCAGCAGTTGCCATGCAGTCAGATGTTGTGTTTCTTTCAAAATGAACATCTCTTTCAGTACTCTCAGAGCTTTGGTTTTAACACGCTTATCAGCAAGGATGTCAAGAATTATTTTATAATTTTATTTATGTAATACTTTACAGGTTGCAGCTAAAGAAACTGATTTCCGGTACAAGCATAAATCAGTTCAGGTCACTTTTAGTGGATTTTTTGTTGTCATTTCTTTCTGCCTCTGCACATTGGTCTGCTCAAGTATCAAGGGATGCACACATCTGTGTCCCATTGTCTAGTGCATCGACTTAATATAATGATCAGTCCTGTATTTTATTTCCAAAATCGCTATTTTATAAATTAGGTTGTGGTGTCTACTCTTGATTCTGCATAGAATGATGACTAGAAAAAGAAGGAAAAAAAACTGTAAGATGAGGTGATGGAAAACGTTGACCTGAATAGGAGAGGATTCAAACTGTAACTTAGACATTTGTCTGTTTGTACCGCATTATACTTTAATGAAAATTATCTTATGCTGTTAGTAATTTAATAAGCTTACAGTAGAAGTAGGAACTTACTGTAATGTCAGCTTTTCTTTTATGATGGCCATAGTGATTACTATAACATGTAAATATGATTTGTGTTGCACTGGCCCCAAAGGAATGGACTGTTATATTAGGATTCTCTTATAGCCAGTCTTGAAGAGTGCAGCCTAGGGAAGGGAATTCAGAATACTGTTGTTTTTTTTTATCATGTTTTTTGAAAGGCCACAGTTAGGAGCTGACAGTAAAGTTTGGTTGTAAGGTATTGGTTAAATGTCAATCAAATTGTGTGTGAAGTTTTTGCAATGACATGACATTGCTACAAGTGTGGCAAAAGTGCATTTGTGAACCTTAGAATTAAGCAGTTTTAATTGTAAAATCTTTTTAGAATACATTTGTTTAGATGTAGGTTAAAGTTTTCTGAAACCATGAAAATGTGTACTATAACTAATTCCGAGTGTGAGCTATTATGGGAGAAGTTTATACTTTTCTCAGAGAATTAAGGCATGTTTTCTGTGGCTGGAGTTTAACCCATGGGTTTTTGTTTTGTTTGTGTTTTATGACTCACTTTTTGGAATGGAAATGCAATTGCCAAAATAGTGCAATGTTTCATCAGTACAGTATTAATGCCAAAATGTATGGTTTCTTAAGTGGCATTTCCATTAGATGGAAATGGGGTCAAGAAAAGGTACCATTTTCTTAAATTAATAAATAAAACTTCACGACCAAAGTCTCCTCTGAAGACTAAAGAAATTTGTCCAGTGCTTTACAACTGTAGCCACTCTTTTGTTCTGTCAGTTTACAAGTAAACTGGATATTGTATTTCATTAGCAGTTTTATTAAATAATTCATTTAAAAATCTTCTTTGGCCCTAAGGGGAGTGGCCACCATCTGTCCTGGTATGAAGGAGTTAGGTGACAGGTGTTATCACATTATCTGTCGTCATGAATTCCACCTGTCACCTGTTTCCAGTATTTAGATGGCTGTTCTGATTTTTTTTTTTTTTTCCCCCTCCTTCCTCTGTCCCCACCTCCCTTTCATTTCTGGTAACTGGACCTCACTATTGCAGTGTCATATGGAGAGAGTTCTAGTTTTTACATTATTATAGAATATATAAAAAAAGTTATTTTCATCCTCCCCCAATTAAAAAATATATTACATACTAAATGTGCCACATACATCTAAATATTAAGGGATTAGGGTCAATATGGATTTATTGTAATATTACTTCAAAACATTTAGAAAAATCTGATTAAACTTGCAGTGTTTTGCAGATTTCCGGAGACTTAACTCAGTACAATTCGAACGGTCTACGTAGTTTATAAAAATACTGTATAATAGCATTGATTAGAGTAGACCATGCATACTAAATACCATCCTAATGCTAGGCATTTGTTATTTATGCTATGTTTAAAGGTTTCAAGAAAAGGCAATTAAACTTCAAGAAAATTCTCCATTTTTGTTTTGGTAGTTCTCGCAGAAGTTAGAGAAAATATGTGTCAACTGTGGCATGAATGTATGTATATTGCATGAAAACCTTGATATTGTAATACAAATTTCACACACAATGTTCTCTTTAAATGGGCCAGCTTGTGCGATCTTTATTTGACCTATAAATGTACCGTAAATCTAACTCCCACCTTAGTTTTATGTAAAAATGGACAAAATATCAACTCTTAATTTAACCAGTTGATCATATGAACCACTCAAATACTGTTTAACTTGACAAGCTTATGGTTTAGTGTTCTTAATTTCTGCTGCTGTAATGCAACAAAGTATAAGGTATTTTGAGATTCCGATTTCTTAGTGATAATAGCATTTTAGTCTGTTCCCATAAGACAGTCCTTTTCTGAATTAAAAATTAGCCAATCAACAACAAACAAATTTATTTTTGTCACAACATTACATCGTCTCAAAGCGCTTTACAGCATCCCCACCCAAAGCCCCCAGTGAGGAAGTAATAGGCGACAGTGGCAAGGAAAAACTCCCAAGAAGGAAGAAACCTTGAGAGAGACCAGACTCAAAGGGGGAGCCCATCCTCCAGGGGCCGGCAGGGAGAGTCACTTATTTGGATTTAATATGCTTGATCATATTAAATGTAAGTTAATGATGATTGGCAGCTTTTTTTTCTCTGTAGTGAGACAAGTTGACAGTCATATAGGTAGTTGGCCTCTCTGCTTTCAAATACAGTAACATGTAGTATGGAAAGCGGCTAGAGTAGCAAATCGCATGAAAAGGAAGAGCTGCCGCTCGCTGCCTTCAGAATCCTCCTGGCAGGTTAACTAGACAGAAAGTACTGAACTCCAGAATGCTGTCCTAGGTTTGCCACAAAATTGTCGACTACAGTGACTGGCCTTATTATGTCTGGTGAAAACCAAATGCTGCACTGTAATCACATCATGGCAGTGGTCTGGTTTGGTGTTGAACATGTCTTGCTTAGTCAGATCCTTGATGGCTTGCTATTGTTGGAGATAATGAAATGTTCCATGTACCACAGAATGCTACAGGAGAATAACAGGGCATGAACTAATGAAGTCGGGTCAAGCATTATGGCGATGGCATGAAAAAGCAATGGTTTAAGAACAGTGAAAAGGGACATAGTTATAGTAGAGGCTTAAACCCTACTGACGTGTTGTGAAACTATGTTTTTTGTTTATAGCTCATGTATGTCACTAAGTTCTGCATGGAGTTTTCCCTGCTGCAGTGTGAGACTAATCAATAACTACAGGAAGTATAACCAGACAAGTCTAAGAGGGTGGTGTTGCTTTTCACATGGGGGCATTGGGTGTTGAATGACATGTTTGTTAGTTTTGTTAAATGAAGAGTCATTTAATTATTCACCCTGGTTCCCATTTATCTAGCAGACCTTTTACCATTAGTGTCAAGTACGCAAGCAAGACAAAGAAATCAATATTTGTTCACATTACTCTCTTGGGTGATTTTAGTTTAGCGTCACAATACCCAGCTTCTACCTCAATTAATCATGTTTAAGCTAAATTATTATACATGGGCAACAACAGAGTTTAGTCAGATGTATTTAATAATCTGAGATTATTATTTTATCATCTGGTAAAGTATCCAATTAGGTGAAAACATTTGTCAGTATAGATAGCCTGTAAAAGTTGTATAGCCTTGTTTTAAATTAGTCACACAACTTCCATGTGCTCAGTAATTACCATATGTTTGCGATAATGTGAGCTAGTAATGCATTCTTGTTCTTAACATGTAATGCTATCTGTTGCTGCTGCTACCTGCTATTGTAACGGTATAATTTAAATGTTTTGTTTAACACCGTCAAAGACATTCTTTTCACGCTGTCACTGGCTACAGAATGCTAATCTGTTGGCATTCACTACAACCAATTGTGGATCTGAAATGTGAGCCAATTTTGGATTTTCTTGGAAAACTCTCTATTTACAAATGTTTAGAATTCCATCTACCACTTGGTCAATTACTAGAGCAGACAGGACATTATTAGGTTTTTGAAACTGGTTCACAGATTGAGAAATAAGCCCTTGGATGAAAATGACTGAGAAACCTCATCAGGAGAAGCAATGGATGGATTTGCTTCTGTGGATTTTAATTTCTTGATTTCACATGGTCACCTTCACCTCAAGTGCAAAGCTGGAAGTAAAGTTACAGGCTTGGACCACAAACCCCCTAATCTCATTCCACATTTGTATAAATAAATAATAAAAAGGGCTGAGGTGGGATATCGAATTCCAAGAAGCAGTTTTGTTGGAAGGATACAACTGGATAGAGGGGTGTCATAGGGTGCTTTTCCACCACACCAGGCACCGTACAGTACTTTCCCTTTTCCATTGACTCATGCAAAAGCACTGGAGGTACACATTAAACTAGTTAACACATACTAGATAATGTTTAAAAAGAATAATCATTAAAATGGCAAAGCTTGCTAAGTTTTTTTTTTTCTTTTTTTTTTTCCCTTCCTCTCCTCTCCCCCTATGGCAGAATAAGATTTTTTTTTTCCCTTCCTCTCCTCTCCCCCTATGGCAGAATAAGAATGTTTTAGCAAAACCTTTAGACCCTCTGCGCTATAATGTCTGCACAGTATGAAAAAGCCTGATCTCCATCTAGTTCATTAGCGATGTGAGAATTGCATGTGCATAACATACAATGTTAGTAATATCGTGCATGGTCCAGCCCTATAATATACTATAGCCATTTTTCGAATTCAGTTCAGAATACCCTGCCTCGTGTTGTGATGTCATTCATTGTTGGTATCAATTTTTATGCTATTGGAAAACCATTGTCTTGATAATGATGAGTAAATTGGATTACTTGATATTATAAAATTTTACTTTGATATATGAGCAACATTTGGTTAATTTATGGAAAGTCAAGTTCTGTTGCATTCTTCCATGTGTTTTTGTTTTTAATCTGCAGAGAACCTGTATGAATAATTTCTCCAGTTTCGAATGCCTGAAGGATGGTTTATTGGTTTGGATTTAATGAAATTTAAGACAATGAATGTCCAGAAAAGCAAATGTGTTTCTCTCCCCCCCCCCAGGTGCACATTCAGGTTTCCCAGCACAAACATAAAGATCACATTCACAGCCTTGTCCAGTGATAAGAAGGAGAGACAAGAAGCACCAGAGTCTCCAGTGAAGCCAGTCCAACCCCAGATATCACCGCTGACCATAAACATTCCAGAGAACATTGCCCACCTGATGAGTCCTCTGCCTTCTCCCACAGGAACCATCAGGTAAAGCCCTAGCAGTCTGGTCCCTCCTGATCAACCCAGTCCATTTCATTTAGTGAAGCCTGCTGTTTTATTACACAATGATTCTGTTTATTGGACCAATTAAAAGCTATGCAGACGCTGTATGATCCTCTCATGGTTTTTGTGCAAGCAGTTAAAGGTGATGTAAAGATGGATTGTGCAAGATGGCACCTAAAGTAAGGTTAAGGAGCAACAACTGTGGCACAAACTTTTTCCCATAAGTATGCAAAAAGGCTGTTTTTTTACTAAGGGTTTAAATATCAAAAGCCTAATTCTTCAATGTTTTCTCTAAGGTTAATTTGCTTGATAAAGATAAGTTTTGGCCTTTGCATGTTCTGGATGCTGTTTAAGCATGCATAAGAACACGTATGAACCATGCATAAACTAAATTAAAGTAAAATGGCAATGGTATATTAATGACTGGACTATAGGGACAAATACATGTCACTAGCATTTTACATAAAAATTATATATTTGAATTGAATGCTCATCAAAGATTTATACAAAATGCATATCCTGCAGTTAGAGATGGTATTTGGAACTTTGGGAAGTGAAAGTGGTACATGTAATTTATTTATTTATTCAATATATTTCAATAATTTACTTGATTTATCATTTTTGTAACTGAGTGATGACACTCCAGAATGTGTTCTTGCATTGATATTCGTCTATAAGACAAACACAGCCACATGTTTAAGACTTGGTTTGATATCTCCTCATTATGGGAAACAAACAGTAAAAAAAATAACTATTGCATATTCTGACAGGGATGTACACAAAAGGTGAAAAATGTGGAGTGTTAATTGGTATTGGGGCCATGAATATTGGACAGACGACAATTAGCATTCACTTGTGCTATAGAAAACCGGCATTTAAGACGTGTTCGGTAGTAATGGGCATAGTGTTTGCCAGAACTCTAGAGGTTAATGTCTACTTTTTCGGATTTATCCTATACTGTGAGCTGTTATGACTGGAGTAAAGATCACTTTGTAAAACTGAACTACCTCTTGTAATTCTACATGAACTGTTGGCTGCAGAAAGGGTACATGTCTGTACTTTGTGTTGCTTTAGTTTGTATGTTTATACAAAATGAAAAATTTAATACTTTCTTCTTCTTTGCTTCATTTAAAGTATTTTTACTTTGCCTGGTTTTGTTAAGCTTTGAATTGCTTAGTATTTGTGCCATTTTTCAAATACCTGAAAGATGGTTTACTGGTTTGGAATTAATGACATTGAAGACAATTAATGTCCAGAAAGGCAAATATGTTTTTGACCCCCCCCCCCCAGGTGCACTGAATAATATTGTATGTAAAGCTTCCTCAAAAGGAGTTTTGTTTGAAAGCTTATTTAGAGAGCAGTTGGTGTTTCCTTTGCTGACTGTACTGCTTTGGCAGTTTTTTATAGAAACGCCTGGAGATCCTCCATTGTTTTGGAGAATAATAGGCAGTGATAAGTGAAATTGTCAACATGGTACTGATGAAATGCTTTCCTAAACAAATCTCTGAAAACTGATTATTTGAAATTCAGATTGTGGTCTGTTTCACTCTAGAACTGAAGTGTTGTACTGTAATTTAAAAAAAAAAAAAAAAAACCTTTGTGACAATGTTCCTGGTTTTCATTGTTTGATGCCCATTTTGAGATCAGCTCTGAATGTTTATCATTTGTGAGGATATTCCCATCCAGGAGCTGTTTGCTTTTTTGGTACCAGCTATTTTAAATGTGTGCCAAACCAAATTTTATATTTTAAAAGGCCACTGTGGGTAGAACTTATGTACGCTTTGAAAAGCTGGGATTTATTAATTAAGGTTCCCAGTAGTAACTCTTGTATCTGTGTACCTGTAACTTCAGTATTTGAATGAAATTATTTCTATATTATGATATTCAAAAAAAGTATACATCTGCCTCTTCTCCCAAGTTTTCTATGAATCTTTGATATGAACATTTTGTCTAAATGATAGTAGTGCTTAGTGAGAACTTGGAGATAAATAATTTTTACATACACCAGAATGAAATTAGCATTCTTTAGTGTAGATATACTTGTACTAAAAACTAACAGTCCTTTTAACTAATGTTATTTCTGGCAGCCTTTTTGTCTTGGCTGATCACTCATGCTGCTTTGAATACTTGAGTATTGTGGTTTTTGATTAGGTGCTGACATGACAGGAAGAATTAATACAATACATGTCACAGTTTCACCTCCGTATATTTTTCCCCCTTGTGTAAATTGTATTTATTTCACAAAACTTTAAGGGAAATGTTGCTGGCATGGATATGGAAATCTGAGCAATGCTTTCTATGGAGAGCCTGAATTGCCTATGGCTTTATCCATTCTTTCACACTCTTTTAATAGTATTTGCAAGGCCTGCGATGCTGAGAATGAAAATCACAATCTATTCATTTCAACCTGAACTGTTTTATTGTCTAAATTCTTTTCAGTGCCGCCAATTCTTGCCCATCAAGTCCTCGGGGCGCGGGGTCTTCCGGGTACAGAGTGGGCCGTGTCCTGAGCTCCGACCTGCAACTCATTGGGGACAATTCCCAATCGGAGAATGACAAGGAAGCGTCAGGTGGTGACAGCCCTAAGGTAGGTGTGAACCATCTCCACGTAAAAAAAATATCGAGATATTTGGCTTTGTAGCAGCAACGGTACGCTTACACCACGAGTGGCGAGAGCATCGAAGCGACCGTAAATCATTCATACGCTATGGGTGGGCACGTTGCGAGTGCGGCGTGGCACTATTTGGGTGGTGCGAGCATCAAAATTAAGTTGAAGCCAAGTCGACTTTATGATAATGAGCTATGGCAAGGTTTGGCGGCAACCAGTCGGAATGTAGAAACACTCTGCTAAAGAAAACACGCGTGCGTAGACTTTTGTTCCGACCTGACAGTTTCCGAGCACAGTGGAGGAGAAACTGAACATTGCTATAGCGAGTTTTCCAGTTATGACGTGTCCCTGTTTGCATACAGGCACATAATTTAAAAAAAAAAAAAAAAAATGGACCAAGGTGTCTGAAATTTTGGGTGTTCCAAGTGAGTTGAAGTGCATAATATATTTTTGTGAAAAAATGAAGTAAATTGATTGCTATTTTTGGTGTTAGCATGCAAATCAATGTGAAGGGTCAGTAACGTTACTTATTCATGACATCAGCTTGTCTTAACATAATTGCGTGTGCTTTGACAAATTGATATCCTATTGGCAGTCAGCACAAAGATAAGCTACACTTTTGTTTGCTTTGCGGCCCCTTTAGAAAGTTTGCTTGACGTAGCATTCTGAACGACCTTGTCCTCACCGACTACATCAGAGCGTCCACAGCATTTGCTAGCATCAGAGGCAGGGTGGCCAGAGTGAAGGCTGACACTTTTAACAAGGCGGGGGCTAAACCCTCTTAATTTTAATTAGCCTTCAGTTGTCCATTGACTTTCTATACAAGTGGTTTTATACAAGTGAGATTTTATTTATTGGAAGTTCTTTGCGGTGGGCATTCGTTTCTCTGGCTAGGTTCCCAGTATTGAAGCCAACAACATCTGAGGGAGGCATGAAGAGCCTAGGGAAAGGTTATAATTTCAGGAAGATACTGCTAGTCAGGTGTGGTGCTTATCTCAGATAGCTTAGATAAATATCCTGCTGAATTGTGTCATGAAAGGGCAACACTGTAAGCTCTGCAAGTTCCTTTAATTTTTTTGCTTAGTATGAATAGTATAATAGTGAGAGCTATCTAACCTAATTAGTAGCTTATTTGCCTTCCTTTTTCTGAAAACAGGATGACTCCAAGCCTCCTTACTCCTATGCACAATTAATAGTACAAGCCATCACAATGGCACAAGATAAACAACTTACACTAAATGGAATATATACCCACATCACAAAGAACTACCCATACTACAGGACAGCGGACAAAGGCTGGCAGGTAGGTTACCATGTTTCTTTAGTTTCACAATGAAACAATTTGACACTAAAATAATAATAGTACACTTTGTCAATGGATTTGAGCAGCTAAATGGCACTGGTTCAACGCTAACACTAATACTGGCTTTCTGTTTCAGAACTCAATTCGTCACAACCTTTCACTGAACCGTTACTTTATTAAAGTGCCCAGATCCCAGGAGGAACCGGGCAAGGGCTCTTTCTGGAGAATAGACCCGGCTTCTGAGAACAAGCTCATAGAGCAGGCCTTCCGCAAGCGAAGGCCTAGGGGTGTTCCCTGTTTCCGAACCCCGCTCGGTCCCCTGTCCTCCAGGTAATATTGTTAATCAAGTTTTTTTTGGGGGGGGGGGAGGGTGAAATATTTGAGGAAGCATTGAAAAATGTACGACAAGGCAAGAACTGAATCTTCTTGCAGGTTTCTGTATTGGGACTGTTAATGTTTTGTCAAAGGGTTGCTAGTGCTACCACCTAGTGGTTGTATTTCACTCAAAATGACATGATTAAGGGTCCGAGCACCAGCAGTGCTGGATCCCTCTTGCTTCCTGAATTATAATCACAGAGCAGTGCTTACTGTTTACTAGGGATGTAACAATACACTTAACTCACAATTTGATACGATTCTGAGTTCACGATAAAGTTTAACAGAATGAGCTGCAGACAGATTTGTTCAAAAATCCTTTATCTTTAATCTAAACTGTGCAAAATGTGTCAAATACTGTTTAAAAAAAAAAAAAAAATTCCAAATCAAAATACATAATCTTCAAATAAACGGTAACGCTTTACATTAACTGCACCTTCATAATGCTTTTAGATTGCATTCATAAAACATTCAGTACACCGTCATAATGTATTCATTAAGTATTCAGAAATCATTCATAAACATCATGCATGTATACCTTTACATCCTAACATCCCTTAACAGCTATAATATACATTAATAACAAATATTATGTAATAACAAACATTATAATTGTATAATCATGTAATGTTTGTTATTAATGTATATTAAAGCTGTTAAGGGATGTTATGATGTTAAAGTGTACTTGCATGCTGCTTGTGAATGTTCTATGAATGCATTATGAAGGTGCACTGAATGTTCTATAAATGCATAATGAATGCATTATGAAGATGCACTGAACATAAAGCGTTACCAAATAAACTAAGGCTTGCATGTGCAGCTTTTTAGTGTGGTTTGCCCTTTTAATAATCTAAAAACACTGTGGTGCCGGTGGACATGCTGAAGCATATTCGTTGTGCTATTTGTGTTTATCAGTCTTTTACAATGTTTGCATGCAGTTTTTGTTGTCTGTGCTTTTCTCGCCATTTTCGTTTGTGATTACCGGAAACCTAAAATGCTGCCACACCGCCGATTTAAGATCGGGGGGCGTGTCCTCAATTTCAAATTCGCTTGCCATCTTGCATTTGGTCAAAACCAAAAACTAACTTACGACGTCGAACTGACATCGTGAATTCAAGTGTAATATTATACCAGTTTTTTTGTTAAGTAAAGTACCGTGAAGTACTCCTAAAGTAGATTCATTTTCCACATCAGCCGTTTTAAATCGTCATACATTTATATCGATTTTTAACTGATCCGCGATTCATCGTTACATGCCTACTGTTTACACTTTTTAAAAATCGCATAAAGACACAAATCTGGACTGTAAACCTGCACGTTTGTCTGATCGGAGTCTGCTTCCCATCTCTTTCTCAGGAGTGCCCCAGCATCACCTAATCACTCTGGGGTTTTGTCTGCCCACTCCAGTGGGGTGCAGACCCCAGATAGTCTATCTAGAGAAGGTTCCCCTGTCCCCATGGAGGCAGAACCCATTCCTGCACCTACCCCAACCACCGCAGCTGTCCAGCCTAAACTGGCTGTAATACAGGAGGCCCGCTTTGCCCAGAGTGCGCCTGGTAAGGGGCTGGAATACTGCTGGCTGTATCATCACACCAAACACCATTGCCTTACGTTTGGCTGTTTTTTTAATATGCATGGCACTAAAGGAAATAAAATATTTTTCTGTGTTTTTGTATTCCTTTATCCAGGTTCACCTCTCAATAGTCAGCCAGTTCTAATTACAGTTCAGCGGCAGCTACCCCAGGCTATTAAGCCTGTGACCTACGCTGTGGCCACACCCGTGACCACCTCTACTTCCCAGCAGCCTGTCATGCAGACGGTTCACGTCGTCCACCAGATCCCAGCCGTGTCGGTCACCACTGTGGCAGAGCTGACGACTGCCAACACCTACACCGTAGCTGGCCAGGCTGTCGTCACTCAGGCCGCTCTGATCAACCCGCCAAAAGCAGAACCAGAAGAAAATGGTGAGCATAAAGAAGTCAAAGGTAAGAATGGACCCCCCCGCCATATTGGTTTACACTGAAAAATATATGTAAAGGTTCCACAAAAGTTTTGTTTGAAAGGTTATTTACAGGTCAGTTTTGGTTCCTTTGGTGACTTACTTTTTAAACGTCTTCAGTTAAAGTAGAACCTGTTCCTGCCATTACCCCTGCTCCTGTAGGCACTGCCAACCGCATCATCCAGACCTCTCAGGCCACACCACTACAGACTGTTACGATTGTGCAGCAGGCCCCCCTGGGCCAGCACCAGCTCCCCATAAAGACCATCGTGCAAAATGGCACCCATGTAGTGCCCGTCACCGCTGCCATTCCAGGATCGGTCAGCACCGGTGAGTAGGACGACCATTTCACAGTGAGCTGTCTCTTTGCTGTTGGCTTGGATTTTATTTTAAAGAGACTGTATCCACCACAAAAGTCGTGATTTGTCAGTGCTTGTTTTATAATTCCTGTAAGTACAGAAACATTATTTTTTTTTTTTGAGGTTATCACTAGAAGACCGCAGTTCAGTCAGTGAAATGTGCCGCCCAGTAAGAACTAACCCTTCCACTTTGTTTCCACAGCTGTTGCAAGCCCTTTGCACATGCTGGCCACCCACGCCTCTGCCTCGGCCTCTCTCCCCACTAAGAGGCAAAATGGCGACCAGGCTGAGCAACCAGAACTCAAGAGGATCAAGACTGACGAGGGGGAGAGCATAGTGATCGCTGTGAACGTGGACAGGCCTGCAGCGGTGGTTGCCGAACAGAGCAGTCAGAACTAAAGGCTACGTCTTGACCGTACTGCCGTCATTTTTTTCCTCCGCCTTTTATTTTTCCCTCCCATCCGTATGTACTCCAAGGTGCCAAAAGGAGAAAATAGATTAAAGCATCTCTGAACTTTGGAATGTTACCACCCAATGGGTTTAAAAGAAAAGTGACTCTTAAGGGGGAAAAAAACGGAAAGGGACAACCGCTGGATAGACTGAAATAAGTAGGTGAAATTAAGACGAGTGACACAGGAAGCCTTTAAAGAAAAGAAAGTCCATTTAGGAGGTAAGATGAACTTGGACATCCAGACTAAGGCCCACCAGGCTGTGCTGCACCTCTGTCACAACTACCTCAGTGCAGACTGGGATTTGGGAGAGGGTCAACGGCAGGTCAGCCCCCTCGGCTCAGCACCGAGACTCTGGATAAGCGGAATGAAACCCACACGTGTAATGACAACATGGCTTTGCGTAAATCCGGTTTTAAATCGACAGCATATTTCACTAAGGGAACTGACATGTGGAGCCATTTCCTGTATCTTGGCAGCTAGCCTTCATGTTGACCTACCTAATGCAGTTGTAGATATGCAGTATTTTGTTGTTCATGTGGAACTTAGGACTTCTGGGTGTATCTTCATTTCTCTAGGCACAAAACAAATCCAGCAAAAACGGCAACAAAAAAAAGGAAACGAGTATAAATAGTGAGATATCTTACATTTCAACCAAAATCCCTCCACGTGTGCATTGGACTCACAAACTGTGTTTTGTTATGTGGACTTTTCATGTTCAGTGAAAAATGAATGTAGGTTTGTTTTTCCTTTTTTATTTTATTTTTTTTAATCTATCAATGGAGTGGTTTGGTTTTTGTCCATTCTGTCAAATCAAAATGAAGTTTCTTTATCACATCTACAGATATTCATATTTTAACAGATAACAAATAAGATATAAAAATATCTCCATATGTAGTTAATCAGATGTTTCAAGCTTGCATGTAACTAATTAGAGAAAATGTACCTGAGCCGATAACAGAAAATGAAACTGAAGAAAAAATACCTACTATGAATCTGACCAGTGCTGCACTTAATGTTTTCTTATCGTTTCCTTTCTTACTCCTTGTTTACCCCAGTATCTTTGCCAGTGTTTACTCTGTTGAAGTTGGCAGTCTCTTGCTTGATTATTTTTATTGTTTTTGGCGACCGAAAAGTCTCTTCAGATTGTATTTGTTCAGAGGAAAAAAAGTGATGTTCTGCTTAAGTGGGTAAATGCTTTTTCTTTCGTTTTTTTTTTTGTTTTATTTTTTTTATAAATTAATTTAAAAACCTTACATGAGGTCTAGCTTATTCTCCATGTCGCACTAACTCCTATGCATGAGGAAAGACCAAATGAACATCTGTGATTACTGAGCATAGCAGACTGGTTAGGAAATGAAAGAATAAATGGACCAAACACTAACTGCTTGCCTACATTTTCAAAGAAAAAAGGAGGGGGATGAGCAGTGGACCATCTGTTCAGATAGTTACACACTTTATTTGTATTTCATAGGACTTTGGACGGCAGATGTAGTTTAATGGAATTTTAACTCTGGCACAGTTTAACATAATACCTAACCATTAATTCACATTTTTCAAATATTATCGGCAGGTGGTGACTTGACTGTTTTGAATTCAGGTTTCAGGAGGATTACTGTTGTTCTGTTTAACGTATAGTTGGCAAGTAGATACCAGCCTGTATTAATTGATTCAAATGGAATGTTAAATTCTCGCTAAGACACTAAATTATCTAGAATGTCAGTTTTTTGGTTACGGTTGTGGAGATGGATGTTTTTACTATGGCCACGTGCTCAGATGTTCCCAGTTCTGAACCTTGCTCTAAGCTTCAGTGACCCTTTAAATTCAATGGAAGTAACATGGTTGGAAATGTAGATTGTTTTTTGCCATTCATGGTGTGATAAGGGTTATGATTTCTGAAGTTACATGAATTTAAAACTTCCTGGATACTTATCCAATGTACAAATTTAAAATGAATGGAAAACTTGCCCTATCATGACAACCATGTTAGAAGATAGGGCTCCTACTGCTTGTGTGTTCTGTCTGTTGCTTCCCCCACAGCAGCCAAAACAGGTATTCTGTCATTTTGAAAGCCAGAGAAATCGAAGAAGGCTGCAGTCCGTCATTGGATGTAGGTCACCACACTCCTATGAAAATCAACCGCAAGGATGCTTCTTGCAATTCAGATGTATTAAATTTTCAGGAAACATTGTAAAACTGGTAGCTGTTTTGCTTTGAACCTTAAGGCCCAGTCGCTATAGGAATTTCACCCATCAGTCTGATGATTGGTATGTTCGTTTTAATGAAATATTAATCAAATACCTTTGCTTGAACATGAGAAAAAGGCCGCAAAAATGCATACAGGTATGAATGTTTCCAAACCTTCTGTACGACCATAGGTTCAGCTATTAACATATTTCCTTGATAGGTTGCCTGTAAACATTTATAATGTATATCACTATTTATTCCCAACTCTCACCTGTACTTTGGTATTCTCCACTTCCAAAAGACTGACACTGTCTAGGGCTATGCACTATGACCCAGTGCTGCTTTTTTTTATGAGAAACTTCCAACCAAGCTTTCTGCTTTTCCAAAATACAGGTTGCAGTAATGACATGCAGCTGTCTAACGAGGAAATGCTTAGGCAGCAGCCAGTGGAGTCTGCAGCCAATTTAAACTATTGTGGATGGATGATTGCCATTATAATTACAACACTGAACACCTCTTGGTGGAAAAGGCCCAGTCTTCAATTGTAGACGGGTTCTTTCAGAATTTCTCCCCCCAGCAAGAAACATTCAACTCATACAACAGTGCATTCACATTTGAGTGATTCAGACAGTTTCTGGCTGTAAAGTTATTGCTGTTACTAAACATAAAAATTCAGTGAATGGCAAAGTGAAATAGGCTTCATGGTCAAGGAGACAGCAGCTGAACCCAATGTAGGCTTAGATGCTTGGAAATGAGTGATTTGTGATTGAAAGCTTGTAGACTGAGCCATTCATAGGTAATTGTTAAGTTTAACAACTGAAATAATAAAAAAGCATGAAATTTTGCTGTCTAAATAGGGCACGACTCCACCTGACATTATCCTCTCCATTAGTCATGCAGAGGTTCTATCCCATTATATTTAGTCCAGGCTGGAATCTGAGCATACATTTACATTCTGAACTGCCAGTCTGAAATGACAATGATCAGCCTGTAGGCCTGGACAACAGTTATAGAAAACATGCAACGGACACAATGAATCCCACGGTGGAGGGACTGGCTGCTCTAAAATGACCCAAAATGCAAACACCTGAGATTCTGTTAAATCCACGGAAAAGTGTACACGATGCTTGATTCAGTCTCTCCCACCACTGCTCAGTATCACTTGTCAGGATAAGACTTTTTTTTCCATCTCAGCAAAGGAAATAAAATTCCATATCTTGAGAACTGGCATGTAATAGGTAAGCAAGTACCAGACTCAGTTACCGAAGCACCATGCCAAAAGTTCTCTCCTTTTATGTCACATTTAAGAGTGACTTTGCCTGGGTCATGTGACAGGAACTTCCCGGTTTAGTTTGACGAAGAGCAATAAAAGCCAAGTTGAGAGTCAGGAGATTTAAAAAAAAAAAAGTAAAATTCTTCAAAACCAACCAGTGTCTAATTTGTTGCTTTTAAATAATGTAATAAGTCAAAAGGAAACCACTGGGATTAGCCTGTTTTATAAAAAAAAAAAAAATCACCCAAAAGAATCACAAATAATCTGGACACAACATGCAATACAAATGAAAGTCCTCTTTCGCAGATATAATTACACAACCTCCACAAAGTATGATCTCATTATGGTAAGCTATGAAGTTGTTTTCTGCCAGATATGCATGGGGAAAATGAATAATTCCAAAATGGTGATCCTCCTCGTTCCCTACCCATCGGGCGCCATCATTAAATAGCAGAGAAACTTATGAGTAATTTATGGTATTGGCACCATGCTCCTAATAGTCATAGCAATGGGAAGACGGTTACATATTAATGGTTGGAGCTGGCTGTAACACTGATGGAGAAAATGAAAAGGAAAGCATTGCACATACGAGTAAAGATCATGGACATGAGGGGCAAGAAAACTTTTGTATATGTATAATCTCTACAAGTACATAGATTCAATATGGAATATTGGCTTTATACATTGAGTAAAATCAGATCTAGTGCTAATAGGTATTTAAATGTATGTATATTTATATAAGTGAAACTTACTTTGTAAATCAGCAGAGGCACTCCCTATACCTGGTTAGGTGGTGTTACTCAACAAAACAGGAGAATCAGCTTTCTTCTTTAAAATAAAAAAATATTATAATGAATACCACAGTATTACATTCTTTAGTGTGATCACCACAAGGTTGCCGCCAGAAGATACATGACTAGTGTAGAACAAACTGAAATGTTATGTGTTAAACAAAAAAAACTGTCCTTTCAGGAAAAAAAGAATTATATCGCTCTTAAACGACGCTCGACTCAGTCTCTTCTGCCACTGCACAGGCTTGCCTGTCAAGATAAGACTATTTTGTAAATCCCAACACAGGAAATAAAATTCCATAGGTCAGATGTTCAAGTTTATGAGGCTCTCCTCTACTTGTCCTGTGTGACCACTGTGCTCTGACAGTACCTCTCCCAGCTCAGACACTCAAATTGTGATGTGCCATTTGTGTCCGTCTTCAGCAGGAGGGAATGAAAAGACCGAAGGGGAAAAAAATGATAAGAAACCTTTATACAGGTTCCTAGTGGGTCAGATTTTCTCATCTGTCATTTCCAGAAACTGTGCATAAACATCCCTGGAACATTCCCCTTTTTGGTTAAACAGGAACTTGTAATAGCTGCCATCAGCACATATGGCTAGAGGAAGGAAATGAAACACAAAAGGGAATTACTACAATCATAAGCAACTTCACATAGCAGATAATTTCTTAATGCAGCTAACATTTTCAAGAGAGTATAATTTAGCAAAACAGCACAATATTTTGAAGACTTAAATGTGTAGCACTATTCCACTAGATGGCAGCATGGCTAAATTTAATGAGCACTCACGTAACTCTTCCTGAAACCGCAAGTCAGCTTCAGTTCTCGCTCTACTTACTTACTTAGTACTTACTGTCATTCATAAAATTATTTAGAGTGAACTTAAGATAGCCCAGTCTTAGCGATATCGACCTAGACGACTGAACTGATCCCAGGAAGTTGCCTAATATAGCTGTACTCCGCTAGAATTCTGCAAGGCATGAGGACTGTCGTACAGAAAGGCAATGGCACACAGGGGTAATCTCCTTGTCGGCTCTTTGCCCATCCAAGTCCATCCCCCAAAGCAACCAATTCCCACCCAGCTCTCCTGCATTAGCTCATCGCTAGGTTGTAACCTAACACTCCATGGTAAACAGAGACCACAGGAAAAAGCAGACATTTCCAGTGAGCGATTTGATTTCCTCGCTCGCCTGATTCATATCCAGTTCTTTGTCTGCTTCATTTGTTAACCATGCCAGGAACAGGGCAGTAGGTACACTGAGCTTATGCTCACTGGAGCAGAGAAGCTGCCATACCTATGACTGCGTTGGGCTCCGTTCCAAAGGCACAGACACAGGGGGAGCCAGAGGGGACCTGGAACTTGGAGAAGCTCCATTTGGAACTGAAGTATTTGGGAAGGAAGCTTGCTGAAGCCAAGCTGAAAACAGAATGAGAAAAATAATTCAGGCACATATACTTGCTTGCTGGGCATTATGTGCAACACAGTTGTCTGAACAGCATTAAAATGAAGAGGAGGTGGCATCAAATTGCAGTAACAACTCAAACCTATACCAGACCTAGACTGTTTGTTCCTTTTAGGATCCTCTGCTGCAAATATGTGTACAGTGCCGTGGTCACTGGACACGCAGATGAGAGACGCATCCTGGTTGAAATTGATACTGTAGGGAGACACAGACTGCAAAGTAACAGGGTTCTGATATGATGCAATTACCCACCACATTATAATTAGCAAGACAGCATGAAATACTCACCAATAAATGTTAGCTGCTTGTGAGCCCCGCCTTAGTTCCTGGATCAAGTGGCCTGCAGAGGTGTCAAATATCCTTATCAGAGTCCCCTGTGACAAACAAGGTCATTTTTTTTTAATTTTCATTTAATTTCAACAACTATGTAAAAATTCAAGTCAATTAATAGTTTGGGTGAAACATGCATTGCCCTCAAATTATTTTGGTGTAAAGTAGAACCCATTAACAAACAGGATATACAACTATACTGTACTTTAGCTTCAACCAGAGTAACTTGGTTGCAGTACCTCTACTAAAAGGATGGAGTTAAATATATCGACAGAACTTTAAGGGCAGCATCTCCACTCAAACTCCCGAGAAAAAAAGCAAGAACTACTAGGTTTACTAAAAACTGTGAATTGTGCCAAACAACATTCATTCATGTTGACTACATTACTTCTTTCAGGTGCATCATTACACAAGCATGAGTGAGCACTGATTATCGACCAGGGGAAAACAGGATTAATAGAGCTAGAATATCTCACACACACACGCACAAAAGACATGCAATATTAGACAAAGCAATGGCTTTGTCAGAACATACACCGGCATGCCAGTATTTAATTGCCTAATTAATTTTGAATATTTGCAGCCTGCTGTTTATTTCCTGATCTTGCAGTATATCAGTTTTCTAATGATGTGATTCAGCCTTGGGCTTAATCATGATAATCATGTGAGACAGAGGTGATCTCAAAAAGAGATCTCAAAGGAATTTTGTGCATAAACGATACTGAAGCTTAATTCCCCTATACACTGACCACAGTAAAAAAGTCAGTTGTAGTTGAAAGAATTACAATAGTTCAAAGAAAGAACTATTTCATGCTCCCCCTTCAATGATTAGTAGGTTGACTTGGCCAGTCACTATAAATACATCCAATATAAAATGTACAGAACATGGAGATTGTCACAAAGAGAAACAAAGTTAGTGCAGCAGGAGTAACCATAGTCTGCTTTCTCATTCACAAGCTTGTTCATCTTGCCTGCTTAGTAATAAAATGCTATGTTTTAGGATATTCTGCAACCCTGCGGATTCTAAAATGCATTTTTTTTTTTACAGCTGTCACGCTTGGTGTGTACGGGCCTTCTTAACAGACCCAAGGTCGATTGCTACACTCTTGCACGCCATCTCGGGAAGCTGGTTTTATATTACACAGACGAGGACTTTATAACTGACAGGTTGTTCTACACAAACTTGCCAACTTGTGACAGGCAGTGCTACAGAGCTGCAGAGGTAAATCTCACTGGCTCCCCGCCTACTTTTTCGGAAGCAGTGGCTATCCGCGTGCCCTGCAGGTTGAGCGCAATGCAGCACAGGGCTCCCTCGTGGGCCGGGATGTCCACAGGGGGTTTCTCAGTGTTGGCCAAATCCACAATCTGCACGTGGCCAGAGTGTGTTCCCGGGAAGGCCAGCAGGGAATTGTTACTGTTGGGGCATAGAACACAAAGGCCTGCAGGAGGCAGCGGGAAGAGAGCATCTCAAATCAGCTTTTACACCGATAGAACACAAGCTGGTGAAATCATGGCATCACAGCAGAAGGGCAGCTGCTCTGCCATGCCAACACAGACAGGAGATGAGTCTCCATTCACTGAACTAGACATCAAAAATGACCTGTTAAGTCAAACTGTAAGCTGGTTTTGTGATGAGTACAAGGACACTTAGACTAAGGGAGTATTTTTAGATTAAAATCTGCATAAGCAGCAAAGGAAAGCCATTGACCCTAATATCAAACATTAGTCTAGTTCCCTGGCTTTACAATCAACTGCAACAGCTACTGCCCCTATTTGGATGGATTACCAGCACAGAGGTGGTCTTTGTTATTAACAGTAACTGCTCTACAGCAGATCAGTCGAGATGCCATAACGGTCAACATCAAGCACAGCATGCAGGAAACTCAGACTTCATTTCCTAATATTTCCGAATCTAACATGACGCAGAGACAACATGCATGTACGGTTTTTATTGGGCGTAGCCTGTAGAGAAACAGGGATGGAAAGTAATGTACCTTTGGGGTTGTAGCAGGTTTCAAACACATGTAGTTGGTGGGGGTTGTGAGTGAAGGTGAACACCTTGATCATAGAATCTAGAACCACCACAATCCTGAAACCAAGCGATATTAATCATTTCAAACACAATACTCAGATCATTAAGAAAACACAATGAATTGAATGAAGTATATCCCAGCAAAACACATCCACTTTCAATAGATGATCTGAGAACATATCCTGCCTGTATTACTGTCCATCTCCCAGGGCAGAACTGGTACAAATCACAGCACGTAGCAATGGCCATTAATAAACCACCTCCAGGAAATTGGTTAATAGAGCCAAAAGCTGGGCTGCAACCATCTCTCACTCAAAGAGCAGAGAGCCCCAAAACAGGCATCAAGACGCTGCATGTCACTACCTGTCTCTCCGGAGTTTCACCGCTTTCACTTCTGTGGAGAACTCGATCTCTATGACTGTCTTCTTCTTCAGGTCATCCCAAATCATAACTAGGACAGGCACAGCAGAAGTGCATTTGCCTGGGATCCATGTAGTTATACACATTACACATCTTCATTTTTACTCATGAATGCACACTTAGTTGAATGGTTAGTAGCATTCTTACAGTTACACTGACAATTCAGTCTCACTGGGCTGAACAATGCAAATATACCTTTGTTAGGTGGGTACTTGGGTTTCTTTCCTCCTCCCACAAGGGCTAAGTAGTTGCATCGGAAGAGCATCTCCACATGACCAACCCCACCCTCAAGGAATTCTGAAAAATGCGCACACAGCCCATTGGTATTTCAACCATCATTGGGGCAAGCAAACAGATAAAGCAGCTGTAAAAAGTAGCAAATAAAAAGCCATGAACTACCAATGGTGCAATGGTAAACGTCACCTATATTTGACCGTAAATTTATGACGAGTAGTAATAACACCCACACGTTAGAGAGAGAGAGAGTACTTTATTGATCCCTTTGAAGAAAATTCTCGTTACAGCAGCGTTAAGATGTAACACCCTAACATATCTCGTGACAGGCCCTGTTTTGTAGTGTCGAGCGTTCTCCCTAATGATTAAGGTAATGTTTGTGCTATGATGCTTTTGGGAAATGGCTCTGTTTTGTAGCATAGTTGTTCTTTTCTCAAGCCGCTATACCAATGGTCAAAACCATGGAGTAGTCAACTAGCTAGCCAAGGAAAAAGTGATGTAAACTTTTGTGGTGCATGACATATGGGATAACATATTGGTATTGGCTAATATTTGTTAAAAATCAAGATATTGCCATCAGTCCAATGTTTCAGTCTTGGCTAATATTTAAATTCTATCAATATTCAAAGATAGCAGCACCAGTAATAAAAAAGTAGAGATTATCACATTCTCACTCTGATTTTATTGAATGTAACAATTTTGTAAACAGGTTACAGTTTTTATGTACTACGTGCAATATGGGTGAATGTGTCTTCCGTGAATCCTTACTGTTATCTAGGGCTGCTGCAATTAGATGTAGTCGATGACATCGATGCTGAAAATGCATTAACGTCAATATTTTAATGCAACGCATCATTTTTTGTTTAATTTTAATGAAATTACCATTATGATTTCTAAAACGCTTCAATTCATTATGACAAATGTTTTCCTTTAATATCACTACGTAATTAGCTTTTTAATATCTTTAAAAAGCCATAATGTTGTCTGCTTGATACCTTAGAATCTCCATTGAATAAGTGTTTGAGAAAATGTTTAGGCTAAAATCTGCGGTTATTCGGCGGCGACTGACGGTGCCAGCGTGCGTTTGTGCAAATTGGGCTTGTCGGGACCATTGTTATTATTGTAAACTGAAATGAAAACAGACACCAAATAAAAGAAAATAAAGAAATAAAATGAAAATTAATAAAATGAAATAAAAATGAAAACTATATTTACAAAAAAAAATGTTGGACTTTAATCAGCGAAAAGCAGCGCCACACCAACATCTTTTTACATTGTTTATGCACAATATCTCCTCTTTTAAAAGATGTTGTGGTTGGTGAGCTGTCCCTTTCTTGACTTCAGTGCTTATCGCTTATATGCTTTACCAAAACAGTAGCATATGGTGTGCTCCACTAACCAAATTTAATAAACAAGGATATGCCGAATTTACACAGATTACTAACTTCTGGGCATCATAATACGCATCTCATCGCATTAATATTTTAAGCATACTACCAATTTGCTTATGGAATTGACCCCGGAAATAATGTCCATATAGTGCCAAAAAGCCGGCATCCATTTTCTAAAGCCCCGCAATAACATAGTTTGTTGTTGTCAAAATTAAATTTAACACTTAAATGTTCTATTTGATTTTCTGGAGGAAAATTAATTGTTTAGATTAATCAATAGTCAATAGATTAATCCATAGAAAAACAGTCATTAGTGCCAGCCCTACTGGTATCCTTTTTGCAATGAAAGTGATGTCTTATTCTGCTAGATATTTTCTTACCTTCATCACCAAACTCGTAAGTCTAGGTTCTGTGTGTCATATACCAACCAAATAAAAATGTAATTTTCAGCAATATCTGATAAAATGACATGACATGCCTGGATCAAAACAAAACCAAAATTCTGTTACTTGATATTACCATCTGTTACTGACAGATACTATATATTCAATACTGCCTTTAATCTGTATTTCTCTAGGCACTTCAAAGGTATCTTTCAAGCAATACCCACTTCAGACATAAACCCTCACAGTAGCTGAATTTTCAAAAGTACATGTGATCCATGAAATTATTTTACTTAATCAATGTCATTCCAGAGATTTTTATGAACCTGAAGTGGTGTAATGCTCTGCTAGACCTCAGGTGTTTCTGAAGGCAATGCGATCTTCAGAACATTTTTTCAATACAGAAAACTTCTTTGCATATTTAAATTGCTTCCATGTTTATTGTAACATGTTGACATTTTCAGCAAATTGTCCTTACCTTGCTTTTCTTTCTCTTTCAGGGGATCAGTGTTATATACTCGGAATCCATTTTCCATTCCACACGCAAAGCAACCTGGATATGAGAAAATGAGTCATGAATTGTTTTGCAATAACAATAAATAGGGAAGGAAATATAATCAGAATGTGATGTTTAGTCTGCAGTGACAGTTTCGAGATACTTGACAAGTAATACGTCAAAACAATGATGCAATAAATAAAAGAGCTAAACCAAAGCATTATTTACTGCCAGACCTGTTAAGTCGGTGTTTAGCCTTGTTAATACAACTACTCAGGGCTGGACTGGCCATCTGGTATACAAGGCATTTTCTCTGTGGGCAGGCAAAATTCATCGTGGGGGATCCCTCCATTGGGCAAAATTTGTCATGGAGGACCCCAAAATCCAGGGCCAATTTTTAATCCCAGTCCAGCCCTGCAACTCCTTATTGGATTTCTGGGACTGGAACGAGAGCATTTATTAAACTGAATTAATGCAAGTACCTCCCCAAGATGTATTATGTTGAAACACAAATAGTTAATATGACATCCATAAACACTGAGTCATAACGTACAAAATCAGCGATGAATCCATCCTGCCATTTACTCTACAACAACATGCATATGACTTACAGATTAAATAATAATTAAAGCTTAGTATTCAGCCTAGAGAATGTGAAAAATTACTAAACAAGATGAGAATTAAAGTCACTTTGGGAAGTCTGGGATCCCATTATTTGCATTCATGTAGACACCCTGTCCCACCCACAAATCCTCTGAAAACAGCTGATGCAGCCACTTCTAGCACATTTTATTCTGAATTATTCTATCAGGGGTATCAAGAGAAAGGTATTCAACAGCTGAACAGGAATATTACACTATGCCCAATTTCTTCTTCCCGGCACAGTTCACATCCATCTACTGAACACTCTAGTGTGTAGCACCATGCTACACATTCAACAATCACATCAACAATGAAAGTTAATTCAGGCTGACAAGGGGAGAATCAACTGTTTCTTATACCTGCTGCGCAAGGAATCAGAGGGCAGGAAGGCTTGTGCCCGTCACATGTCTGCCTGTACTCTTTCACAGAAACTCTTTCAACTCCCCTTTTACCTTGTTTATCCACAATATTTCCTCTTTTAAAATATGTTACGGCTGCTAAGCCTTTTTTCACTCCAACTTCAGCATTTATCGCTTCCATGATATACAAAAACAGTAGCATGTGGCATGCTCTGCTAACCAAATTTAATAAAACATAAGAAAACGTTAAATTCATACAAATTACAGTCAGCACTGCCACAGCGCGTGATTTCACACCACAAATCTGTTCTAATATGATTAATATATTAGTACCCAAGTCCAATACAATGTGGAATCACATTTGTATTCGCGCGATTTTCAGTTGAAAAGAAAAGCACTAGGCAAACTACAACACAATATGGTCTTACTGAGAAACAATACTTGCATGAAAAACAGCTACCCAAGTGATCGAGAGTGATGTCCAATTTGTGAACGAATTTCTCTTTTGAAATGTTTCTTTTAAGAGAATCAGTTTTCAAATCTAAAAGACTAAAAAAACTTTTGTGCATCCACACCTTGCACAGGTCAAGGTCACAGATTTAAAAAATCTAAAAATACTTGACTAGTTATCATTTAGAACACAGACACGTTTTTAAATTCACTCGCGTTTGGTTTTCGTAGACTGTCTGCAGCCATGTGGCCTTCAGTGCCCCTCCGCATACTGTTATCCGTTGTGTTTATGCTGTGTGCATGCCAGACAGCAAGGTGGCTGTGGCTCAATACTCCACACTAATGACAGCCAAAACGTTATTTCATGAACCATTTGTTGTATTTTCTGACCCCACTAGATGGTGCTCTTTGTTCAAAAAAAGGCTCAAAGTATGTCCCAAGGTAAACCAAGAGCACCATCTAGTGGGGGCTGATGATACACCAAATGGATAATGAAGAATTGTTTTGGCTATCACTACTCCCAGCTCTTCGCAAATGGCAAGTTATCAAATTTGCCACGTTTGGTTGAAGTACTTATTAGGCAATTTTTGCAAGACTCATAAGACCCATGAGATGTTTATGATATAATTAACTAATGTATTATTATTTCTTATTTACTCGAGCTTCCCCCCACAGTCCAAAAATATGCTGAGACTAATTAGAGTTACCAAATAGACCGTAGGTGTGTGTGTGTGCGTGTATGATGTGTGAGTGTGCCCCCTGTGATGGGGTGGCACGCCCCCCTGGATTGTTGCCCGCCTTGCACCCGTAGCCTCCAGGATAGGCTCTGGATCCCCTATGACCCTGAATAGGGTAAGTAATTTAAAAAAATGGATGGATGAATATTTCTTATTTAAAATGCACATAATTACATTATGGGCCACTGACATCACTGCTTTTATTACGCAACTCATTTAGTTTGGAGTAAGTTACTAAGCTTTGGAGTCGCATTTCCCCAACCCTGTTTTTCCCATCGAATATGTGTCTATTAGTACACAATTTTAGTGACTGCGAGGTTTTTCAGGAACACATTAGTTGCACTGTAGCTGGACTGATTGCACTAACTTTTGGGCATCAAAGTGCCTCTCAATAATATTTCAGGTGTACTATTAATCTGCTTCTCAAATTGTGGATGCAAGTAAATGTCCGTATAGTTCAGAAAATTCGCTGTCCATCATCTAAAGTCCAGGTGATTATTGTACATGCACACATATATACAATAATATTGTGCATATAACGGTATATAACAATGATATCCCTGTTATGTGTTAATTTGGGCACCGTGTGGCTCAGTGGGCTAAGCCGGTGTGCCTGTAATCATAAGGTTCCCGGTTCAAACCCAGCATCAGCACGTCTACGGGTCCTTGAGCAAGGCTCTTAACCCCCAGCTCCCTGGGCGCCGCTACGGGTGGCTGCCCTTTGTGGAAAGCTTACTCTGCAAAGAGCAAGTTGAGGGAGGCGTAAAGACAATTTCCCCACGGGGATCAATAAAGTATCAATTATTATTATTATCCCAAGGTGAATGCTTTGTTTCACACAAAGGGAAGGTAGATAGACCAGAAAGACAACAGAACAGACAATAAAAATTTGGCCAAAACGGCACATTAGTGAACTATATCTAAGACATCTGGAGTCTGGGCAGAGTCAGTATTCATTGTCTTCAGAGAACATCACAGCTTAACAAAAAGTGAAGTGTCTGTGTAGCCTAAGATAAGCTAAAACTTTATTTTAGAAATGTTTGTTCTCCTGCATAATTTCAATAACAGATGATTCCCAGCACAGCATAAAATAGAAAGTTTATATCACAAGTAGAAGTCAGGTAGAAACATAAAAGGTACATTATTTAGTGCAACACAAAACGGTGATGAGTCACAGTTGAGTTAATGTCCTCCAAGAACGACAGGGTTCGCAACGTGAAGACTGGAAGCACTGTACAAATGGCAGGAGGCACAAAGGAGCATCTGAAGCACTGAACACTGTGCATCTTAGGATGAACCAGGGGCTGAAAGCACCCTTCAATTGTACCAGCTCTCTGCTGAAAGAATAGTGTACAGTTTGGACACCAGTCTTCCCTCCTACACTGACTCCGGACTAGACGAATGACAGAGCAAGTTTCCCTCAGAAGTTTTTCAAGCCTATCAGCTCCCCCACCACCACCACCAATCATGATCAAAAGACATGGCAATACGATCGTGTAGCTGCTCCACAAGGAAGGACTACTCCAGGCTTCCTTGTAGACATTCACTTTGCTGTCATGCCAGTCCAGCCTGTCACTGATGCCAATTGAGCCAATACTGATGAACTTACAGCACTATAGAATTTCTCCCCCCTGTTGAATAGTAACAGCAGTCTGTGGCTCCTTCCTGCACCTGAAGTCCCACATCAGCTCCTTTGTCTTTCTGACACTGAGCTGCAGGTGGTTCTTCTTAAACCACTTGGCGGGAGGGAACCTCTCCACTAGACTTCTCTACTCCTCTTCTTCCTTTCTGCTACATGCCACAATCACACGTAATTGTCTATTGTTAAAAGAGCTATATGAATAGTCATCACAAAAAACAAATGATATGCCTGGTTAGTCACAAACAGCACCAAAATGTTTAACAGTGCACTAATACTGTCCTTCAAAGTAGTGATAAGCAGCACTGAAAAAGTTCCAGTTCTATTTAGGGACTTGTAAAATGGATTTCACAATATTTCACTCAAGTTCAGTTCTACAAAGGACTGCATTTATGTAAAAACTGTCATTCAGCAAGAGGCATGGGTGGCTCAGTGGGTAGCAGAGATGTCTCACACCTCCGGTCTTTGATCTGTGTGTGTGGAGTTTGTGCGTTTCCTCCCTGTGATGTGCGGGTTTTGTCTAGGGACCCCCAAATAAAAACAAACCAGAACTACAAACCCTCTATCACAGATGAATAATCACAGAAGGAAATGATGAATGAGGATTTTTTTTCCATGAGGAAGAGGATATCACCTTTAGTATTTCCAGTATATAATACCAGCATTTTGTTAATTTATGAAACATCTCTACAGACCCCTAATGTTGAAATCCCCTGCTCTAGTTACTCCAGTTTCCTCCCATAGTCTAAATACATGCAGTAAGGCAAACTGGCATCTTTAAATTGCCCAGTGTTTATTACTGCATGTGTGTGTGTTTGTGTGCCCAGGGATGGACTGGCATCCCATCCAGGGTGCAACCCAGCAATTCCCTGTACTGCCTGAGACAGGCAGATAATACACCAGATGTCAAACATTTGCAAAGACAAATGTAAATCTGGCTGATCAGTTACAATGCTGTTAAAAAACGGTTTCCTCCATTTTCAATAAGTTATTTCTTTTGAGATCAAAGTGATTCAGAGCCAGTTCTGGGAAGCAAAGGTTGTATCCTGGGCAAGACGCCAGCCCATTACAGGACACTCACATATAGTGTAATATAAACTGATGCACAATATTACATATAATTATGTATGATAAAATATAAATAGTACAGGTTGTGGTAAGAAAACGCAAGAAATCCTCGAAGGTACAGACGTGTCCTTATTACACATTCCCATGGCTGCGTCACAGAACCTAATATGCACACTTTTCAGGCAACTTAATTCTTCTTTTAACAGTTTACATCTAAAATGCTGGGATCTTGTTTCAAATTTTAAAATAAAAGACTCTGCCTATTGTAACTTTTCATAAATTTGCTCCAAGTTTGTTACTCATTTTTAATGAAATCCCAGTCGTTTGCAAGTGAAATCTTGACCGTACATTGATAAAGTGCCTAATGAAAGTACTCCATAAGGTTATGTGCCTATAATGTTAAATGGGATCTGAAACAATCAATTTCAGGCACATTTCCATTGTATAGCTGCCGAGGGAGAGGCATGCGTGCAGCCGCCAGAAACGTGAATATGCACGGTGGCTGTATGACCGTAAGGCCGCCGGCCAGCCACACCAGCGTGATTTGTTTTAAAAACATTAACTATGAATTAAACGCTTCAGGTAGTCAGCTACACCGATGCGTAGGCCTGTGTCACGGGGAGGGGTGTAGCTCTGTACGGCTAGCTTGGTACAGCCGTTTCATGCAGCATGGACTAGACACCGCAATCTAAATAACTAATTATTGTTCACCCAAAAGACGAATTTAACTCCTCTTGTGAGCAAAGTTTGCGTCGCTTTAAACACTGTCACCGACACCCGACCTTGTTAGCGGCAGTACCCCCTATGATAACGTTAGCAGGCTAGCTAGAAAAACAGCGAACATGGCTGTCAAACTAAACGTCGTAATATAAAACTGTCCGTTTCTCCCGCTCCAAGTCACCATCAGACGCCCATCCGCCGGACAGATGACTTACAACTACGGACCACCTACAACCGACGAGCACAGTTAAGCGAAGTACAGAGTTGACTGTCTTATACAGATAGCTGCCGGGGTAATAAAATGGTTTCCATCACCATGGGAAATAATAAGTTCTGTGGTGCTGAAACGCCGATGACAATGGGGAGCTCGACCGGGCCATCGCAAACAGATGCTTGATTGGTGCTAGGAACAGAGTCGAGCAGGTATATCGAGGCGTTCACAAGGCTGTGTGGGACCTGACTACCCCTGGTACGGGCCCAAGACTTAGTTTGGCCAAACACAGTTGCTGGAAAGTCGCAATCGAGAAAATAAAAAGACCTCACCGTGGTCCTGGTTAAATCCGGCGTAAAGGAGGCCGTTTCCATGGGGGTTGGAAGGTAAAAGGTTCATCGCGGTGGTCCAGTAATCGCTTAGGAATAACGAAAGGTCTGAATATCCAACTTCAGCTGTAGGAAACCATTCCTAATTCCTGCCGCCGCCGCTCCTGCCCCTCCGCGAGTCTGTCAACACACGGCCAAGCTCCCGAGCGGAGTTTCGCTCCCTTGCCAGGACGCATAGATGCGCAACGAGCCACTGAGCTCCGATACCGTTCGGCATGAGCGGGAAGCGACGCAGTCGCGCCCTCGTCCCATTTCTAATTCGCCGCAGGTAGAACCCTCAGTGCTGACGTCAGGGTTCTTTTAAATGCAAGGTGTTTCTTATGTACCTTTGCTATTACCATGGGGAATATGACTTAAACTTGCGTTTTCAAAATGGCCGTCTCGATCTGTTAGTAGTCCCGAAAGATGATGTACATTATATGTAACGTTATAGTAACAAATTAAACAATAGAAGAATTTTCTCTGGATTCCAGTCCAGTTCTTAAGTACACTGAAACGTCACATACAATACGTGTACATTACATACAGTCTCAGGAATATCGATTTGAGACGTCTATAAGAATTACTAGAAGTAGCAGTAGTGTGCTCAATTATTTAAACGCTTATTTCTGTGTTTATAAAATTAGTTCGATAACTGATTGTCGAGGATTTTGTTCGATGGAACATTCCTTCTTAATGAATATCAATAAAAGTAATGGGATAACTTTTCACCAAATATAATTAAAAGACCATTCACAAGCTGTGGTTCACGCTACAAATATTGAACCGGTCTATTTGTTTAAATGCCTGAGAGTGAATCTGCCTATAATCCCTTTTGGACTGTCCAGGATTAGTCTATATTTTTTGAGGCAACTGAGGGTCTTCACCCCAAATCATTCTGGCAGGAGTGATTGGGGTGTTTGCCCTTCCTAAGTGTGCCCCAAAGTGTGTCCCAAAACGGATCGGGGTTACTGGAGTTGCAGAAAAAATACTGAGGACTTGATCTCGGTGTCCTCAGTGGTAGGAAGGGACTTGCTGAGGTGCAAACTGGCCATTGGGAAGTTCGGGTAATTTCCCATTGGGCTGGTCTTTTTAGGGCCTGTGCATAGCCAGTGAGCGTGTTCATGAAACATAGCCCTAAAAAACTGGGGCCACACCACAACAGCATATATATATATATATATATATATATATATATATATATATATATATGTGTGTGTGTGTGTGTGTGTAAGCTATATGAGGTGGTGGAGTGGACATCATTACATCTTAGAAGGAAAATGCATTGCTTGGTTTTTCTTGCAAAGGCTTTAATGGGCAACTTACCTCAGTACATATGTAGTTTGCTGACATTGCGCACTAATACATACAGAACCCGTTCATCAGTTAAACTTCTCCTTCAGCCTCCCACCACACACACAGAACTGAGGAAATCCGCCTTTTGTTGTTATGCACCACATGAGTGGAACATGTTACAAAATATATTGAATTTAGACTCCTTGCCTTCTCTGAATGTGTTCAAAAATCTCTTAAACTCTGAGCTTAAAGAACAGTGTCATTGTTTCATGTAAATTAATTTCATTTTATGTATTTTTGGAGAGTATTTGCATGTGTTTTCGTTTGTGTTCATATTAATCATCTCTGTATGCATGTATATGAAACTTTTGTCTTTTTTCTTATTTGCTGCCATCTTGGCCAGGACTTCCTGGAAGAAGAGATACTGTATCTAAATGGAACCTTCCTGGTAAAATAAAGGATAAATAAAATAAATAAATAGATATTTCCAGGCTGGTTTTTGTTGCCAGTCCACCCCTGGTTTCACTTCTTTATTAACCTGCCACTCACTGAAAGTGCTTTGCATTAAGGAATTTTCAGGTCTTTTTGAAACATTCTGTACAGCAGAAAACAAGGCATTGTGTTCCCTACAATCAAATGGCCTGTGATATTTTAGAAGAGACAGTCCAGAGGTTAAAGGTTAAAAATAGTTTCTGATTCATCCTGTGTACTTCACCAGAAACAAACGTCCCTCAGATTTCCACTATACATGTGTGTTCTTGTGATTGGTTCCCACAGTTCTGTATTAATGTGATTTGGTGATCCAAGATTAATTTCCAGACGTGACAGTATAGCTTATCATGCGTCTCCTATCTTATCATTTAATCATAAATGGGGCTTTTGAAAGAGTGCTAAGGGTGAATCTTTTGGGGAGGGCTGATTTGGGAGTGGCAAGTTTTGGAAAATATTAGGGCCATTTGCAGATGGTGATTCATCATTGTGAATGTCGGAATCCAAGAACTGAAACCTGCATTTGCTGGAAAATGAAAAAAAAGAAAAAAAAACTGAAAACACTTCCTTACTTTATAGAAACCTCATAATTAAAACCCATTCTAGATCCAAATCTATTGCACTGGGACTCAAATGTCAAAAAGTAACTGTTCACACTTTATTTTAAGGCTATTACTGACAGTTGGATGTTGGTCAAACAACTTAGCATCTTTCTCAAGGCATACTTGTGCTATAGGTATCCCAATTCATGGCTTTATTAACTTCAATTACCAAATTTAAGGGGAGTATGCTATGACTGATGAAAAACACAGAATGAAGTATAAACTGTTTGAAGTCTTGAGTCTTGAGTTTTTATCATTTTGCATTTTCTGCATTGATTGACTGCAGCCAACTGTTATATTTTCCTTCTCAGTTTTTTTCTACTTCCTTAGGTTAGCCTAGCAAACAATATACAGTAGAAGGAATATGCCTGCTATGACAATGCTGTGAAAGAAACTAACTCATCATAAATAATAAAGGACTGAAATTCTTTAAAACTGAATTGTGGTTTCATATAGATTCAAGATTCTTTATTTGTGTTGAGATGTGTTGAGAGTTTGTCATCAGGTTTGTTTATTATTCACTGTTGCTTCAAGGTATCTATGACTCAACTGTTTTTTTTGTCCTCCCAAATTATTTTTTTTAATTAAAAAGCTACAGTAAGCCCTTTTGGAGATTCCTGGTCGAAACTGTTATGCTTGCTGCATTGAGGATTTGTAAATCATTACCTGCAGCTTACTACCATTGAACCTATAGATAGTGTCTGCTTATGTATGCAGTAACTTGTAAAAAAAAGGAAAAACCAACATAAATGTAACAAAGAAAACTGAAAATGATTAAAGCTGTGTATGCAAACATGAGAGATGATGCTGCGTGATGTTACTAAGATTCAGGTTTCTGCTGGGTCAGGTATCATGCACGGTGTTTTTCATTTAATGGTATTATCAGCTATGTAGACGAGCTAATAATATAAAAGCACACAGGTAAAGAACTATTGCTAATTCAGGATATGGGCACTGTAATCCATTTCATTATTGTAGGCTTAAAATTCTCCCCACTTCATGCGTCCAATCTGTGTGATGCATTGCTTCTGATCCAAAGGATGGTATTTTGGCAGAGCATAAATATATTCACTGTCTGAGTGGACACAACACTTTAAAACAGTTCACATCAATTGCCAACTTTAACATATTGCTTGAAATATAGTGTTCCCTGAACACCAGCTGAAATCCAGACAGATGATACAGACTCAAGTAGAGGCTATATGAATTTTGGTCAGTGGTCAGTTTTGAGTTTACAGGAGGAAGAACGTACACAGCAATCACGGGAATACAGTGGTACCTCAGAACTCAAACTTAATCCGTTAAGAACTCGGGTTCGAATCCTAAAAAGTTTGAGTTCTGATTAAATTTTCCCCATAAGAAATATTGGAAAACCAATTAATTGGTTCCCTGCCCCAAAAAATTACATATATATATAAATATGTGTGTGTGTTTTTTTTTAGCATTTAAACACAAAATGAACAGGGTAAAACAAGAAGAGCATATACTGTACTAAACACATCTAAGCACATTTATCAAAACAGTAATTTGTAAAGTAAGAAAATAAATGTATCCAAACAATATGTAAAGTTAAAAAAAAAGAATGTGTTCTGCCCCGATTGTCCGCTCCTTCCGTGTGCCACGCCCCCCCGTTAACCCCGTGTGGAATCCCCGTGCGATCAGCTGTTTCTGGTTGTTGTCATTAGTCCTACAGTATGTATTTAGTCTGCGTTTCAGTTTGTTTCCCCAGTCTGGTCATTGTTTTGTCCGTCTGCATTTTGCCTGACTTACCTGTAATTAAACCCCGTATTCCCCAATACCCAGATGTCTGCGCCTTTGTCTCCGTTCCGTCTGCGCTCGGCACGATAATATTATTATAAATAAATGTATTAATGGTTTATTATTAATGATACTAAAAGAATTAATAAGAAATCTTTATGTATTTTATTATATAATAATTATTGTTACTCTGTATCATTGTCTAAATGTATGTATTCAGCTAGTGTAAACATGCAGGATGCTATCACAAGGTATGCAAGGCTGAGACTGAAGCATTACCTTTTGTTTCCGCTGAGACGCGTGACTCATTTCCCCGCGCGTACAAAATCTCTGAGGTCAGCGTTCACGGTTTGACTTCTGAGATTCAGATCGAGTTCTAGGTCTTTTTTTTTTTTTTTTTTCAAACTGGTTGGTTCAACTTTTAAGAAATTCGAGTTCTAATGAGTTTGAGTACTGAGGTAGCACTGTACATGGGATATTTCTTGATAAATAATAAAGAGTGAATATTTGAGTTACATTGTATTATACAAATGGGGGTGATTTCCTCACTCCCTCTGTGGTTTAACAGTCGTTGGTAACCATATGAAATTCTTTTTAAACATAATTACTCATTATGTATATTTAAGGATAATTTTGTCCAGTTAGATACAGTATGACATTATGTGCCTCGTGCTTCATTTTCTCAATAAAATATACTTTCAATATTATATAATAGGATAATACTCAAAACTATGATATTCACCCACACTTAACCAGAGAATCTCCAAGAGTGCAAAAGAGACTTTTCCCATTAGCAGAGTTTATTGGAAATCATAAGCTTTAAATTACAAAATGTCATTCTTGCAGTCCCCATCTTTTTCCACCTCCAACATCTTTGGTATTTTCCTCTTTGAATTATTACTATTGTCACTGTACACTTTTGTTGAAGAAAACTCATACAAACCAAACAATAAAAACACAATAGTATCAAACAATATTATACATATGAAATACATATTTAAATAGCTGCAATGTCCTTCTGTGGTCATCATTTGTTTTAATCTCACTTTTTCTCATGGACTCTTGAAACATTTCCAAGCCTGACATTATAGTTTATCTACGAGATATCCTGATATTCTGTTCAATAGCAAAACATTAAAATGATTTGTT